TAAGCCAACTGAGACACAGGCCCGGACCTGGCACGCTGGTTACTACACCGGTCTTGCTCAGTATAATAGAAAAAATATAAAACCCGGAAGAGGGGCCCGGAAGAGGGTATGCCTGCAAGAGGGCTGGACCTGGAAGAAGGTTCGAACCGTACTTACACGGGCCCATGAGGTTTGACCAGTGTCGGGGAATCAGCCGGCGCCGTCAAACTGAGTGGGGACTAAAAGATGCCCATTAAAAGAAATAGAAGGGGATCGTCCACCGTGGCGCATCCTATTTCCCCCTTCTCAGGGAAGACTTGAACGGGGGGGTGAGCTAAGGCCTTCCCGGGATGGTAGAAATCAAATGACCATTAAAAGACTTAATCACCCGGAAGAGGGGGCCCTGGAAGAAGGGTGCATTTGAACCTTGGAGAGGGTTCGAAACCATTCGAACATGGTTAAATCTCCAGTATCCTTACCGGTTAAGGATACTTCAAGAAATTACTAGGTTACAGGTGTTCCACCTACAACCTACCGGTCAAAAAAAAAAAAGAATACCCCGGTTGGGTATTATTACAGCGGAACTTCGGAAGTTCTTCAAGGCAAAGCAGTTGACCGGTCGTACCGTGAGATGGGAACGTACCGGTCATACTCTACTTCATCGAATAAAGGTATCCAAAAGCCAAAGGAAAGTTCAGCCGGTCAAACTTTTTAAGTTGACCACCGTGATGAAGGTGTTCAAAAAACAAGATGAAGTTCAACCGGTCAAGCATTCTCGGGTTGACCATCAAGTTGGAGTCAAACAGGTCAAAGTTGGAGTTCGACCGGTCAAGTTTATTCAAGTTTCCATTTCAACCTAGAGACATACGAAAACAATTTGGAGTTCAACCGGTCAAGTTAGTCGAAGTGGCTTAACTTGTGCACCGGTAAAATATCCTATGATGTGGCAAAATATCAATTAAGAAGCAGAAATGGAAGATTAACCGGTACGGAAATTAAACATTGCATTCAAACACAACAAGAAAGTTAATCGTTTACAAGTACACCGGGCATACCCGGGCGAAATTTCAAAGTTTTGAGTTTTACAAAAGATAACCGGGCACAGCCGGGGAGATTTCACTCCAAGGGGAAGGGAGGTGCAGGTTCATCTTCTGGGATGGGGGCCAGGCCGTATGATTCAACAGTAAAGTCCGGGTCACGTTCAGCAAGGACCGCGTGCGTGGCCTCCCGGTCCCGTTTTTGGCCAGACATAAAACCGTAGGAGCCGATTTGAGTGATCATTTCTTTTCCTTGCTCCTCCCGGTATAGCAGATTGAAGCCCTCCACCGTCCTCTCCTCAGAAGAAGTGAGTACCCGGGCAGCTTCCACCAGGTTGTCCTCCATCCATTGCTTGGCCCTACCGGGGAACTCCCGCTCCTTGGATTCCAAGTCCTCCATCAGCTTCAGGTTCTCCTCCTTCAGCTGGAGGGTCTCTGCCTTGGCTCCCTCAGCAATCGCTGAAAGGTTGGCCATCTCATTCAGCTGCCGGTCCGTCAGCTCCTTAAGCTCCCGGTTGTGGGCCTCGGATCTTCTTAGCCTTTCTTCCAGCTGGGCTAACCGGGAGGAGGAATCTTCAGTAAGTTGCTCCAAGGCGACGGGCCTAATTTCACCCATCTTCATATTGAAAAGCGCACCGGTTAGTACAACAATCGAATGGCAAATACAAAAGAAAGCACCGGGTATACATTACCCCTTTCAGTTTGAGGGTCAATTTGACCCAGAGCTCCTCCAGTGATTCTTCGGCCGGGGTGTTCTCTCCCCTTTTCTTTTTGGCCGACGGGTGAGTGGTGGCTGTATGCTTCACTCTCTTCTTCCCCTTTCCTTTGTTGGGGGAGAATTCGTCGGTTCCTTCCCGGTCGGAGAAGCTCCCCCGGTCTTAGGATTTTCCTCTTCCGAATGGACGTCTATGGTTTCCTTCTGTACCGGAAATGTCTTGGAGGTATGAGGACCGGTAGCAGAAGATCCACCGGTTGTCTTCGACATGTTGTAGGCTCTGAAATTCATGTCTACAAAACAAGCAAAAAACTATAAGCATTCAGGCTATGACCGGTTTAATCGGGAAAGAAAGCAGAGAAGAAGATAAGCGGATACCTGGGTGACTTGGCCCTCCAGCCTCTACAGTGTTGCTCGGGGAGGGTCCCCCGTGCCCCGCTGCTTCATGGGCCCGGGAGGAACCCTCGTCACCCGGTTGGACGCGCCAGACCCAACCCCCGTAGTGGTACATCTGACCGGTGTTGGGGTCCCCTTTGAGAAGCTGCTCCCAGCTCTCCTCCAGATCCGGGGTGGCCGGCGGTTCGGTGAACTGGTGCTTGAGGAGATGGTCACTCCACTTCAAGCCGGCCAACGGAGTGATGGACGGAGGAAATTTTATGAAGACAAATTTTTCCTTCCACAAGCGGTTGCTTTGTTGAAGGTCAGAGATGAACTTACGATTGTTTCGTCCCTTAAAATAGACAAAACCTTCGCAACCCGGTTTGCCGGGACGAACCTCAAACATATAAAGGAAAAGGCGAAGGGAGGGGTCGATGTGGAGAGATGTGCAGATGTTGGCAAAAACGTTAAGCAACCGGTGAGCATTGGGTGTTATCTGCCCGGGAAGGATCCCGAAGCAGTGACACAACTCAACCAAGAGGGGGCGAAGGGGAAAAACGATACCGCTCTCTAAGGAAGCGATATGAAAACCTATCCTATCCTCCCGGTGAGGTTCGATGATGTTGGGCCAGTTCTCGTCGAATTCGAGAACATAGCCCACCGGGAGGTTCCTACGGGCCTTGTTCAGGGCTATTTTGGAGACATGGGGGTAGATGTCTATAACGAAGGAGGTGGGGAGGGGAGAGTAACCGG